AGAAGTTATGTATCAATCCAATGATAAGCTGAAAAGAAATATTACAACGATAGATCGAACAAGTTCTTGAAATTGAAATTAGATAGTTGATTACAATTATTTTTTAATTATGAGTATAACATTGTAAAATACTGAAGTGTTAGAATTAATTAAATGTTATTATATTCTTCATCCAATTCCAAACGGGAAATTGATACAGCAGCCAAACCACTGATCAAATTAATTACTAACATTGTTAAAGTGACATATGTCAAAGTAATTAAATTCATTCTGAGAATGAGAGTATGCAAAATATTTTCTCTTTTCGGAATTTTGAATAAAGCATTATATATTTGTTTTTTCCGTGTAATTCAGTTCAACTTTTATTTGACTTAATAAATGTGAGAGGGCAAATAAATATGTATAAATAAACAATTAAGTTTATTACTAAGGTAGGATATCGGTGCAAATATTTTAAACGTTTGTGGTTAATATACTGAAAACAATGCACAATATTAACATTTATTTTTTATACATACATTAATCAAATGATAATATCATTGTAGCATTATGACACAACTTTAACTTTACAATAATTTTGCAACTTACTGCAAAAGGAAAGTTAAAAGTATAAAAATATCATAAGACCATGAAACAGTTATTACAGAGATATAACATACAAGTATGACTGAATTAATTATAAAATTATTCTTTATATGAAGATAAAACAGGAATCACATTTGTTTTGATCAAGCACATTATTATGGTTTAAATAATTGAATAAAATACCCAATAAAAAGCAAACCAAACTATTACAATATTTCAATAATTTAATATGCAAGATGGACGAAGTAGGATAAATAATAAATTTGCTTGAAAAGCGTTTTGTCGCGATTCATATTTGCGATATAATGTCATGATATGAATAAATGGCGTCAGACTCGGCAGCTATCTATCATATACATCAATGCTGGAATCTATACTATACATATGTAGAAACAGGATTATTTTCAAATTTTACGAAGTTCCAACTGCATTTTTTACTTTCCAACTCAAGCCATCATCCTGGTTCCTCCTGGATCCCTCGGTCAGAGCGTGCCAGGTTAGCCACTGGAAACAGTCCGAAACGAAAATGAAGTGGGTAGTTCGTTTATTGGTTTGAACGGTCTGTCCGCATAAAGAAAAGGGCCCCTGGTGCCGTTCCACCTATTGTTGTACACGTGCGTTACCGGTAGATCTAACAAACTCAAGGAGGTGTTTCGCTTGGAGTTGCGCACTGGTCATACTCATACAACTATATATTTTACCATGATCAGCTTTTTGTAGTGCATGTCATTTTATTTTTTTATCATTTGAGATATTGATAGATTGCTCAAACTTCAAACAGAACTTGTCAGGTAATTCAAATGGCAATATGCTGTAGGTTCTTACTTATCACTGAATAAATCTTGTTCATTATTTATCTAGAAATGCTTTGATTTTTCTGTATGATAAACATGTATTTGTTCGTGATGTATTATTCAAATCCTTTTCGGGGACATTTAACTTTATTGTAAATATGTCTTGTCTATGAAGAGTATAGAACTGACCAATCTCTGTGACTAACCTGTAATGCTATTACGACACGAATAGACTGGATGCACTGACCACAGGCAGAAATTGATTACAATCAATGTGTGATACCTCTAACTTCACAAGTACGTTCTTGTACACGTTATATACATCGTATATGTTTTATGGTAAGTTAGGAACTATTAAATCCCAGTACTCAATAAAACCATTTTACGATTTCTGTTGAACTTTTGTTTTCCTTCTCTAAACTTTATTGAAATGCTTTAGGTAGGTCTTACACTTTTTACATTGAGGAAGCATTGCGTGCTGAAGGAATCGCCATGCGTTTGAAAGGTATGGTACATAAAAACTCTCTGATTCAGGAGTGAATATCATCCAATGTCGGACCTTTCGTCAAATCGTTAAAATGAGAACAGGTACATAAATGAAAATTATTTCCAAAAGACACTAAAAGACAAGACATCATCCATGCATCTGAAAATGAAATTAAACGACCTGCAATGTCTGTGTGGCCTGTTTTGATAAGGTCTTCAATGATTTCAGCCTCGTATGAAAACATAATCAGGCAACAAAGAGGAGCAGTAAGTTCCCATGAAATTGTCTGTGGGCAGACATTACAACTAAACTCGTAGAAGATGTTGGATCATTTTGGTGATTTCGTCTTCCGTGTATTTATTTCTTTTTTTTTTTTAACGATATGTAATTTAGTATAGTTCACTACCATATATTTATACCGCGGTTCACAACTCTTGGAAAGGAAATTCCCATAACAAGTGAACGAAGGCGTTACTTAGGTTTATAATTGAGTATGGTGGTATACTGGATTGAAAAATGAAATGTTATAGAAGAAATGTTTTTAGAAGAGGTTATTGAAGATTGGTCTGAAGATCTTTGGAGTTCTTCAAAATCCATATACTATTATTTACACTTCATGAGAAAGCAATATCACAATATGACTGTAACCCAGATTTAATGTTTTTTATGTATATATTAGGTTAGATTAGATTATTAGATTAGATAAAGAATTTTGGTTTTAACAGGGGGTACAGAGATGTAGGTCGAGGCGTGTAAAATGGCTTAAACTCTTTGTCTGCGTGTCTACCTGTCTAAATTATTGTTTGTATTGATTCCTGGTGTACATACCCTAAATTCGTCCTGTCCATCTCTGAATGGTAAAGGTATTTGTTCGCTTCAATCGATAAAACAAAGGACATCGGGGAGAGGCATCGACAAGGGATCACGACAGGAAACTCATCCGAAGTTGTCTTTCTTTCAAACGGACTTTGGGATTTATGACTGGTTCTCAATAGGATTATCCAGTAAAGGTAGGAGACATCATGTGAAAAATTTTTATTTCGTTGTGATATTTATCAATGAAATTGATCCTAGAATTGGGAATATCGCCTACTGAAAGGGTTAACGTCTTTATAGATATTCTGATATTAAGCCTACTTCCAATTCAGTGGAAGCGGACAAAATTGAATCGGAATATGTCACAAAGGTTATTATAATTGTACTCTCCTCTTCCAATTTCGATGGTACCTTTTAGTGTGTCGTTATGATAAAGTTCTTCAATATCAAGGTCATCCATCTGACTCAGCTCTTCTACAGAACATAGAATATCACATACACAACTTTAAAATACTAAATAACTCTTGTCACCATAATTTGGACCGAGGAGGGAGAATTCATGGCAAGTCCATGTCAACAAAATTTATATAGTATTTTTCATTGCAACACACATAGCTAGCTGGTTGAGTGAATCTAATTGTTATGGACGTTTTCATATCCATTTCATAGTAATAGATATTGATTTACGCTGATTACCGGATATATATCCCAGCATTGTAGTGGCCAACTAACAACAGTTCACCTGTGATGTCTCATTAATCAATTTCACTTTATTTGTAATGTCAATCTCGCTTTGTTATCGCCCGCAGAATACGCTTATTCATAACAGTCATGATCAGTTTTCGGTGGCTTATCTCGTCGGCAATCTGTAAGCACTTGATATGAGGTAGCAAGTTGTTATATAAATATAATTATAAATGAAAGGTATCATTGTCCATTAAGGTTATCACTTTGGTAAAGTGAAGCAATTCACTATGATCTTATCTTGTTTAATTATCTTGATTCATTCTTTAAAACAGATAACTAAAAAATGTCTCGAATCATGAAATATAGGATGGGGTAGTGGGCTTCACTTTATCATTATGGTTAAGAGAAGTATTTCATAATTGATATTTTTATTTGGCTCAAACCCAAAATCAATACTGTCAGTTGTCAAATAAAATCCTTTTTACGGCAACGAATCAACCAGTCTGAACAAAGAAATAAATTACTTCCCAAACAGAATAATCAATTTGCATATTTACATTTTGTAGGTAAGTTGTTATTTTCTAAATCAAGGTTTATAACAATAAAATAATCCATGTACATGAAAATACATGACATTGAAAAATGATACATCAAACAGTGAATTTTAATTGTTTTATTTTCATCGATATCACTTCATTGGGATTGAGATTGTGTTTGGGTAAAAATCCATTTTTAAGAAAGAGGAGTGAAAATATATATTTCATCAATCATTGCTTATCCGTACATGAGTGATGACATGCCTGACAAGTCCTCCACTTCTAGGCTGTTGTAAACCTGTCAACAAGGACCAATTTTTTTAATAAAAAGAACAAGCAAATACCAACAGGTCATCATAATCTAAACTCAAATTCAATCAAACTAAGACAAAATATGGAAAAATGAAAATTTACACGAAAACTCCTGAAAAAGAACAAGGAAAATAAGACCAGGTGTTTTGGAAGAGTAAGTGCCTTCTGCTTCATCGACGACACTCGCCATGTAAACCTTGGTCAAAACACTTTTTGTCAATTGTAAGAAATGTCACATACTTAAATAAAAACAAGGTATACAACAAGAAAGCTAAAAACAAGAAATTGTCATACACAATTTTGATGGGCTATTCAACTATTTTGACCTGTAATTAAAGGCAATCCCGGCAATACATTGGAACTTTGTTTGAAATCAAAGTACAAAAGGAATCATCAATAGTAAGTGATCAAAGTTCTGATCGTACTGTTTTCCAAAGTAATGCTACATAATGTTAATTTTGAACTGTATTGAAAAAAAAAAAAAACAAGTTGAATTTTTGGAAATCATTACTTATTGTTATCAATAGTAAGTATTCACAGGACCCCAGGAGAAAAAAATATTAAATTGAATTCTTAGGATTTTTATTACATGATTGATGCCTGTGACCCTGAAAGTGGGTAAAGGTCATTTATATTATCAAGCTTGATTGACCATTATGTTAGCATGCTATAAATGTGAAATATCAGGTCCTCGGACTTAACCGAACTCACGAAGATTCTAAATGTTTGGTAGTCCAAATAGCACTTAATGAAAACGTTGACACCTAACGGAAAAAAAAAGTTTAATTTCTTCATAAAGACAAAAGACAAAATAGGCAATTACATTAGCAATGTGTGAACTATCGAACCTCTAGGCCTTTCCAAACTTGAGAGGAAGTTTCTGGTAGTTTCATATTCTAAATTGCACTTTTGAACTTTGACCCCTAAGAAAAACCGGATTTTCTTTTTTTTTTTTTTTTTTGAAGTTTTGCTTATACCGACAAATTGCAAGTTTCCACAGAAGGTTGTTGACCAAATCATGTAGTTGATTTCCTCTTAAAAAGTTAGAAAACATCACTCACTTATATAAATATAATTGACCCCTGTGACCTTGAAAGTAGGTCAAGGTCATCCATATTTACAACAATAATGGACAATAATTTTACCTTCATATAAATCAGATATATTGGCTCTAGGTCCTTTCAAACTTGAGAAAACATTTCGTATACATTGGAACCCTACATTGACATTTCGAAATTTTACCCCTATGGGAAACCGGAAGTTGGCATTTGGTGGCATTTTTGCTTAAACAAATCAAAAGCAAGTCTCTATAGGAGGTCGTTAAACAAATCATTGACCCCTGTGACCTTGAAGGTAGGTAAAGGTCATGCATATTAACAAACCTTATACGTAATTACCGTAGCATTATATATGTGAAATATCGAAAGTCTAGACCTTTCCAATCTTGAGAAGTTTCTGGTAGCTGGGTACCTTAAATTGCACTTTTGAACTTTGACCCTTACCGAAATCTGTAAGGTGACGTTTTACACAGAAATGTCCTATGAAATGTGCCATTTATTTTCAATTCTTCATAACGTATCCCAAGATGATGCCAAAATGTCACATCATTATTGAGATATTGACGTTAAGGCAAAAATCTTTTCTTTTTTTGACAAAGTTGATCACATCAGAATTTAGAGGGCACCTTACCAAACCTATTCCATATCAATTAAACAAAATTTCATCGTAGGATTTTGGAGTAATTTTAGTTCAATTTTTTTTTTGTCTGCACTTTTCATAGAACTATGGGAATTTTTTTTTAAAAATGACGTAAAATGTCAAGGAAGAAATGGAGACACTAAAATGAATGGACTGACATTTTCAATTGAACTTTTTCTATTTTCAAGTGACCTTGACCCCTTGACGAGCTTTTTTATTTGAACGAATTTCTATTAATGTGCAAAAAATAAGTTAGATATGACCCTCTTCTACATAAAATATAATTGTAGCATATTTGTAGGACAGATAGTTTTCGATAATTGGGTCATGATGGCCATATTAGATTTTTTACCTACTTTAAAATGCGGCATTAACAAGTTCAGATGTACTTCCATAACATACTATATAGGTTGAGTGCCTATCCCTTACCGTTTAAAAGCTTATGAACGCACAAATTCGGAAGAAGAATGAAAATAAGAAACAACAAAAACAACCTTTTGGTGAAAAGCCCTAATAAAACAACAAAATATGCCCATAGAAATTAAGTTTTTGAGACAGGAATTTCCTTCCATTTTCAAACATTTTTATGGTGTCCAATAAAACTGGACAACATTCATTGCCTATATCGGACTTCTACTAGACAGATATATATATATATATACACACTGAGACAACTATACTTTAATTATAGTTTGCACTTAACATGAGGCCAAGTGGGCCTGCACTGCTCACCTCTAGGTCTTTAGTTCCCCTAGGAACATACCAGCCAAATATCATGCCTCTTGGCCTTTTAGTTCATGAGAAGAAGTCTTTTGAATGTTTTCATTTATCTGACCCGTATGACCTTGATTATAAGTCAAGATCATTTCTTTTTGCAAACTTTGTCAAGCTTTATAATAGGAACATACAAGACAAATGTTGTCTCTAAGCTTTTCAGTTCATGAGAGTAAGTCATCTAAAGGTTTTAACAAACTTGGCACCTGTGACTTTGAATACAAGTCAAGGTCATTTATTCTCCCAAACTTTGTCAGACTTAATCCTAGGAACATACCACTTAAATATCATACCACAAGGCCTTTAAGTTCATGAGAAGTCATTTAAAGGTTTTAACTAATCTGACACCTGCAACCTTGAATATAGGTTCAGATCATTTCTTTTAGCTCACCTTCAGGCCAGGTGAGCTAACAAAAGTATATCTATTTTCTCAGCAATGTATTCATAATTGTGTTCTAGCAAATTGTAACTCCAAACACTTACCAATTTCATGAATCCAAAGATTATGTAGAAGTAGAAGGTTGCCATGAAATCTATATAATACTTACTAAAGACAGGCTTAAATCTTCACTGAAGTGCAGCCGTGACCATTTCTTCAAGACTTTATGAAATGCCAAAATTGCCTGTAATGATTTTAATAACAAAATATTTTGTAACTCTGCGTTTTCCATGTGTTAACATCTATATAGGACTTTTAAGCAAGTAACTGTATGGCAATTTTACCTAAAAGTTTGAGTAAAATTTTCAAGGAGTTAAGATCACCGTCATATATTTATGATTAAGATATGCATCCTTCTTTTTAAGAAGGGAACCTATGTATGAAATTTACATAATTAAATCAGAGACCCTTTAATAACGAAATCATGACCTGGTAATATGTCTCTATTTATAGAAAATATAAGTATTGGAAATAATTAGCCTCTTTTGCTTTTGTTAACTATATTGATATTTATCAAGTTTATGTAGGTAGGCCTCCTACTAATATCTGCTATTGGAAAATTATGAAAAAAAATGTACATAGATAGTTGTATCATAATGTGATATAAATAATATAATGTATTACTTTATCAATCTATATATTTTTTCAATTATCAAAAATTGATTGAATCAAATTTCATTTATTTTTCATGTTTGATCTTAACACCAGTCTTTCAGTTAGTATTGATCAACAAAATGTTGATATGACAGACAGAGGCTTTTCATGAAAAAAAACCCCATTAACATATGTGTCACTTACTGATACAGAGAGTTTTATTAACTAAATTCAGTTAACTAAATGACAGAGTTTCATGGGATTTCGATGACGATGCTGAATTCTCTTTAATTAATTGTACAAGAAAGATTGTCAGCACATGACCACAATGTATCATAAAAAAGACATTTTTACCACATCAGATTTTTACAATATGCATTTATATGTATATATCATGTACTTGGAATTCTTAAAAGATCTTCAAATTCTTAAACTTTTTTTACCTGTTGTGATTCGTCATAAATATTAGCTTTTCCTGCAATGGCTCTGTGACCTGGTACAGTGAGGCAGCTACATGGGATTGACTCTATCTGATATACAGATAGTATAAATAAAAATTAATATAAATATATGTAAAATATTAAGATATCTACCACGAAGGAAGGTCTGGCCATTACTATTTATCAGCAAATATCTCACTACCTGACACAGAAAACTTCCTGATCATTTTGGGAATAGCCATTGGAGACCAAATGGAAAAGATGTAATATTGACCTGGTGGAATAGGAGAAAATTTCTAAATTCTAGAGAATTTTCTGGTTGTGAATGACATCTCAATTCAGAATTATTTTCACAGACAGGGAAATTCCTGTGAATTGTGTGTAAAATGTATGCGTCTGTTGATCACATATACAGAACTACATCTGTCACTTCACCAGAATCAGCAATTATTAATAGCTGTCCCTGTGGACATTAACTTCTGCTTTTCAAGGCGACAGATTCTGTTGTATTATGGTAGTGAAAGTATTTTGGACCATGAAATGGGAAAGTTAACATCAAACATGAAAATACACTACTACTGGTGTTTGTCCCTACAAACAGCTTCCTTATTAGCAATGGTTAGTATCATCAAAGTATAGCCATCTAATGGCTTGCCATAGTCCTTCAAAACCAAGGATGACAGAGTATTTTAAATGGTCAGCAAGCAAAGAGCTTTTAATCAGTTCTACTTTGATATATGTCACCACTATATCATTTACAATATTTCTATGTTTTGTCTGAAAATAATTTTGATTATATAATAGACTCAAAAACTGAATTTGAAATTTTAAGATAGTGATCTAAAGTAAAATATCCTAAGCGGATATTGGTGCCCATTATTAAGATCTTTACAAAATTATATTCTTTAAAAGTTGGGTCATTTTCTTTTTCTATTTTCTGATCTGTTTTCAAGATTCAAGATGGCTGCCTGTCAACAATTTTGCTTTTCTTCACAAATCCAGAAAGTCTGGCCAGTACTTGGTGACTACCCAATGTAGGTCTCGAATCTGTGACCAAGAGGTGGAGGGCTAATGACAAAGATGGTCAGGCACTTTAGCCACTGCCACCAAAGTCCCTTCAACATCCCCACCCCAATCAACCTGCCACATTTTTTCATTATTCAAGCTGGTCATGACATATGGCCAATACCTGTTTGACCTGACAAAACTAGATGAGTTAATTTGCAACACTTCATGTTGCTTATCTATTTTCTATGAATCAAGGTTATAATTAATAGAATTAGTGGTGTGCTGTACCATCACTTCTACTTGACTTAAGAAAAAAAGCACCAACCAATATGGAAGAATAGTCTAATAAATTTGTCAATTAAGCATTGTGTGACTGCACATTGCATTGTAAACCAGGTAGTCAGACCCTGAAAGTGTAGACAGAATTGTTTTAAGTACCTTTCATTATTTATGTGATATTGATTTGGTATACCTGTATCATCTGGATAAGCGTGCTTAGCAGTGGATCACAGATCTTGGTGTCTGCTGGTAGGGCTGGTTTGGATGTCACTACAAAACATGTAGATAGAACTATCAACATACTGTTCTGTAAAACAATTTACTTTGATTTCAGAAATCAAAAATCATTGAAAGTAAAATTGTAATTTTTGACAATTATTAACTAAATAATGACAGCACTCAGATGAGTATTTAATTTCTAAGTATCCTGTAACACAGTAGGCATAAACACACTACTTGTTGGTAATAGCCAGGTTTATTACATGTTGGATAATAATGTGTCCATCTGGTGGGCTTCCCCAAGGCTGTGTGTCTCCTAACATAAAGATCTCCCCCCTTTTGTCTTACTCTGGACCAATCTTGTCCAGCCATCCCCTAATATGGACTTCACTTGTTGCTAGATGATATGATTGTTGAAGTATAGGCACCTGTACTCGAGGTGCAAGGTTGAGATTCCCCCTGCTAATTTGTTACTTGAAATAGACCCTAATAATTACTCTACTACTAGGTGGCCACTGTCAGAACGGGAAATTGCATAAGTTTGATTATCAAGGAAGTGGGGATAGTCTCTAATTAAATATCTGCCCGAAGCTGTACACCCACTGATAAGATTCTCCAGACTACAACAACCTAAGTGTATATATGCAAGTAATTATCCACACCCCTTTGAACTACCTATATGTGTTATATATATACTATTGAACATTAAACAAACTATTGATCAAGCTAACTTATTTCAACCTATCCCATATGAAAATCCAGCTGTGTTACACTAAGCTCTATTCTGTTACAAACCCTAACAGCGGCTAAATAATATTTATAACCTATTATGAGGTACAGCAATGCTTATCAGTCTTAGATAGAATGGGAAATTTATTGAAATAAAAAAACAGTGACATTATCATTGGTTTCCCATTTTCTTCAACATGTTACCTAGTGTACGAGTAAAGGGAATTTTACATAAGTTCCCAATCTGGGAAAATAAAAAGAGGTGGAGAAGTCCAACGTCCTGTAAGTGGTATTAGTTGGTAGATGTATCGGTAGAAGAATCCTAGGTGGATCAGAAGGATTCTAGCAGACCTCCATAGATGATAGGTACTAACAACTAAATAAAGGATGGAGCATCAACACCAAGGATTCCGTGATCGGTAGTTTTATTAGGTTGACATGTTTCGACTAGCTAGGCTAGCCATCATCAGAACAGCGGTACAAGTGTTGACATAGCTAAGATTAAAATTACGGTTCAGTTGTGACGTAATAACGCATTGTCTTGATCACGTGATGATAACAATACACTTTGTTACACTATACAAAGTAAAGGAACAAAGGTAGCATAGATTATATAAAATACAAAAGTGGTGCAGTGATGCTGTTTATAAAGTAATTGAAATGTTCTATAACGGTTTTCAAATGTAAATTGGAAATTCTATAGGTATCTTCGATGCTTTGAGACCAGCTAGGCTAGCCGTCATTGTGATGGCAGTGTCAATAAATGTTGATGATGAAAAGTAAATGTGAGTAAAAAACAGTTTCCAATCTATGTAAGATTCATAAAAATGAAGGTTTTCCTTTAGCAGGAGACACACAAAAATAAGAATAGAAAAAAAAACAAGACGTGCTAGTAAACAAGAGGTCCCTGGGGCCTTCATGGTCAACTGACTATCAAAACCTATATATCAAAGAGGCAAAATAGGTCTAAAATAAATTGCTCAACTGCTTTACAGCTTACATGGATGACATTGCTGGTTCATAAAGACATGTTCTGTAAACTTGAATACCACATTCTTTATACATGCACTACACAACTGCTATTATTCCAAACGTATTGCTTGTTGCAAAAGCAAGCTACAGGCCCAATATCAAGACCCTTAACAGAGTTGGTAGCCCTATATTCTAGCATGTTACAGGGTTAATATCATCATCCTGGGCCTTTTGGTAATTGAGTCGAAGAGAGGATGCTTAAGCATTTCAACACATTTAACCTCTGTGACCTTTCAAGCAGATTAAGATCATTCCCATTAATTAGATAATGAATCAACTTTCTGAATTTATCAAATGATTCCCACTCTCAATGATTTTTAGAATAAGTTTTGTTGAAATCTATTCAAGCATTAAGGAAGAATAGCATTTTGAAGCAAAAACCAGGTCTGACTTTCCCATTTGTGCTCCGCTCACCACCAGGTCCCTAGGGATCAATCAAGTCTCTGAACTGAAGAAATGATTCCCCACTCTAAATGATGTAGGTCCCTAGGAGTCAAAACAACTTTCAGAAGTTTAAAAAATGATGTTCCACTCTCAATGAAGTTTCTGACCCAATTTCATTGAAATCCATTCAAGTACTAAGAAAAGTAGTATTTTGAAGCAAAATATGGCCAAACGTTCTCTTTTGGGACCCCGCCTCAATGTCCCTAAGGGTTAAATCAACGCCATGAATTTAAGAAATGATTCCCAACTATCGATGATGTTTCACACCAAATATGGTTGAAATCCATTCAAGCATTAAGATGGAGGAGCCTTTTGAATCAAAATATTGATTAACTTTCCAAATTGGGGCTCCGTCCACCCCAAAGTCTCCAGGAGTTGAATCAATATTCTGAATTAAAGAAATGATTTTCCACTTCCAATAATGTTTGAAAAGAAATTTGGTTGAAATCCATTCAAGCATTAAAAAAGAGTAGTGTTTTAAAGCAAAATATTGACTAATTTCCCCTCCTGGCCTCTTCTCCCCAAGGGGCCAAATCAACTTTCTGAATTGCAGAAAAGATCACCAACTAACAATGATGTTTCACACCAAATTTGGTTGAAATCTATTCATGCATTAAACAAAGAAGAGTCTTTCGAAGCAAAATATTGACTCACTTTCCAATTTGGGGCTTCGCCACCTCCAGGTCCCTAAGGGTCAAATCAACTTTCAGAATTTGAACAAAAAATGATGCTACACACTCAATGATGTTTTAGACCAAATCTGGTTGAAATAAGATATTGCCTAACTTACGCTTTTGGGGACCCATCCCAAAGTCCCTAGGGATTGAATCAACATTTTGAATTGAAAAATTGATTCCCCACTCCCAATTATGTTTCACACCATTTGGTTGAAATGCATTCAAGCATTAAGAAAGAGTGAATTTTGAAGCAAAATATTAACCTTCCCATTTGGGGAAATGCCTACCCTAACAGTTGAATCAGGCCAAAGCTTCTTGAAATCCACCCAGGCATAAAGGAGGAGTAGGGTTTTAAATCTAATTTCAACACCACCATGTTTGTGGCCCCATCTCGACCCCTACAGGTTGAGTGAAAAGTTTGAATTAAAAAATGAATACCCTCACCAAATTATGCATCAGACCAAATATGGTTGAAATCCATCCTGGTATGAAAGAGGAGTAGGGTTTTAAAGAAAAACAAAATGCACCATGACAGATGAAGCACTCCTTTAGGCCTGATGACCTAAAAACTATGCCCCCGGTTGCAACAAAATTCTGACGTGAGACATTAAAACTGTACTATGTTAAGCATGTGCTAAATGCATGCACAATTTGTGAAACACATGTCTTCATTTGGTAATTTTTTTTTCTACTTTCAAATGTAGGTCAAAGGTCACAGTCATGATCACATGGTTAAAACATTTGGTACCACCAGTAAGATTTTGTCACAAGGAACACACATGCCAAGTATGAAAACCATACCTCTTATGATGCAATAGTTGTGTGCAATGTTACAGTTGTCAACAGACAGCAAACCAAAAAAATTCTTTTGATACAGGGGCACAAAAAGAAGTCATAATTTCATCCAAATGGAAGCTTATGTGCAGGATCTTGTATGTTGAAACACCTACCTGGTTTTGTGTTGAATGTACTTTCATATAATGGTTTCAGCTGACTGTCTGGTATCTTATCAAGCTTCAGAGTTGTCAGCAAAACCACCTTCTCCACCCCACTGTTCAAGTGCAAAGAGGAAAGTGAAAATTCAATCAATATAATTATAACAAACCAGTTATTTTATATTTGTTACTACATATGTATATAAATTAATGACAATTTTTTTTTAATTTTTGAAATTTAATGGATTTATTATTTACATGTACATCACAATCATATTGTGACAATATCTCCATACTTCATCTCAAATGTCACTTTTGGCTGCTCATTCTCCTTTGGATACTACTCCAAACATACAAAAAAGTAACCTCAATGTGATGTTTCTTTAATTACAAGTGAGAAAGGAATTAATTTCTTTTCGTTTCATATTTGGGTGACATGGTACAGTTCCAGGTACATACTCAACGAGATTTCTATCCTGGAACCAAGTAGATTTTTATTTATGTATGATGTATATATATATATATATATATCCTTGAGGACAGAGAGAATTATACAGTCAGTGTAAGACTAGCTAAGCAAGATACATTAACAAGAGGCCCAAATAGCCTGCATCACACACTTGGTATTCAATCTTCGTCAAAAATAGAATCAGTGTTAATATCACCAATATATTGACACCATTAGCATTCAAAGTGGGCATATCTGATCAATTTTAACCAATCTCCACAACAAAGAGATTCTAATAATCAACTCTTAACAGTTATGACCTGGATTTTTAGTAAATGGCTTTTTTTCAAAATTTGTGACAATATCTTCACTTTTAACCAATTTCCACAACAAACAGCTCTAAACCTCAGTTCTAAACAGTGACAGTTAAGACTTTGATTATAGGTTAGCCTATTAGACAAAAGCAATGCTTCCTTGGTTAGTCAATAGAAGACCATTACAAGTTTTATGAATTTGAACCCATAAGACCATGAATATGGGTCAAGGTCATTTCCTTTTGTGCACTTTGTTTGGCTTTATCCTAGGAAACTGTCACCCTAATCATGCTACTGCTCCTTTGGTTAGTCAGAGGAAGACACTTACAGGTTTTAACAAATTTGACCCCTATGACCTTGAATATGGGTCAAGGTAGTTTCTTTTAGCAAACTGTCAGAATTCATCCTAAGAACCTATCAGACAAATAATGTGCTTCTGTGCATTTTTGTAAGTCAGAAGAAGTCATTTAAAACTTTTCACAAATTTGACCCAAGAGATCCTGAAAATGTGTCAAGGTAAGTTCTTTTTAGAAAACACATTCAGGCGTCTCTCTCGGAACCTATCAGACAAAAGCCATGCTTCTTTGGTTAGTCAAAGGAAGACCTTTACAGATTTTAACTAATGTGACCCCTGTGATCTTGATAAATTGTCAAGTCATTTCTTTGTCAGGCTTTATCCTTGGAATCTATGACCCAGATACCATGCTTCTGCACCTTTTTGTTAGTCAGTAGAAGTCATTTTAAGAATTTAACAAATTTAACCCTTGTGACCTTGAATATGGGTCAAGGTAGTTTGCTTTTTAAAAACTTATTTGGGCTTCCTCCTAGGAACCTATCAGACAAAAGCCATGCTTCCTCGGATTTTAGTCACTTGTAGTCCGAAAAGTTCTCTTAAAGGTTTTAACAAATTTGACCCCTGTAACCTTGAATAAGTGTCAAGGTCAAAGTCTTAGCAATAGAAATATCGAAAATATTTTCATTCGTAATACCTTAATACTATATCATGAACTTGCCTTTAACTTTCGTATTGCTTTTTGCTGGGTACCTGGGCACATGGGAATAGGAAGCAATGAAAAAGCAGATCGTGTCGCAAAGGAAGCTTAATCACTACCAGCTGTTGTTTTTAAACTTCATTTTACCGATTTTAAACCATTTATTAAACAAATTTTAAAAGCTCAGTGGCAGGAGGAATGGAATACATATACCAATAACAAATTGCACTCCGTTAAACCTGTTATCGGTGAATGATTTCCAGGCTATAGACACAACCACCGAGACGAAGTTGTCCTTGCCTGTCTTCGGATGGGTCATACATATCTTACACATTCATATATGTTGAAAGATGAAAATAATCCTTGGTGTGTAGGATGTGATGAGCCATTCACCGTTAAACATTTTTTATTGGACTGCAGTGACCTTCTGTCTACTCTAGAATGTCTAAAATCCCTTTTTGAAACTGTCATGATTTGTAAAATTCTACATTACCTGTAAGATGTTGGTCTATATAATAGACTTTGACATACCATTCAAATCTTTTGTGTTAACATACCAATTTAAGATTTTTAACATTTGTCTTTCACCTTCTGATTTGTTTAATGTTATTTTCTTTTTGGACTGCTGTATGTTTTACCGGTTGATGGCCCTAATGACCTCTTATGTGTTGATGGGCCGTTAAAAATGTCATAATAATGATAATAATAATAATTCGCAAACCTTGTCAGTCTTTATCCCAGCTACCTACTAGCCAAATATCACAACAATCTGTCTGCTGGTAATTGAGAAGAAGTCATTTTAATGGAAAATTTGAAACTAGACGGACAGCAGATGGACAGCAGATGATGGACAGACAACAGATGCTGCACCAGGGCCCTCTGGGCGAGGTGACCTAAAGATCCTGAGTTTTCATGCATTGAATAAGACAACTTACCTTTCTATACACAGGTCTATGATTTTGTTTGCTACATGTTGGCACTTATCTGCTGGCACTATGGTGTTAACAACCACACAGGAATACTGTAAGGGAGACAACTTAATACAAACACCATTTACTCCACAGACCTACATGCATCTATGTAATTAGGTCCCTGTTTACATTACTACTCTCCTCCTCATTCAAAACATTTTAAAAGATCACTAACTTATTATCATCAATTTAACTTCAATTCTCATCATCTACCAATTGAACACACATATAGTACTCAGTAATCAAATTTTAATACTAAATGTTTTTTCTTAGTAATTTTTCTAGTGATTTAATTCTTTAAATCAAAGTTCTGAGAAGTTTGCTATTTCAAATGAATTCTACGACACTCTGAGAACAGAAAATACCAATGCCACTCCCAAAAACAAATTTTTTCATTGAACAGTATAGAATAAAAAAAACCATGAAATTTACTTATTCAAAATAGCTTAATCATTCTTATAAAATTACATTGTATGAAATTTTGCCATATTATTTTTCATGGTTTAATTATTGATAACTTTACTAAAATAGAAGAAAATATAATTTCTACTATCAAATTAAAAAAATTTTCATTTGAAAATATTCCATTAGAATAATATAGATTTGTATTATAGTTGCTTTGGATAATATTCAAAATGTACATGTATGAGATTTTTTGTTTTTGTCCAAATTAAATAAGTTTTGAGAATCGCTAAATCATTTAAATTTCATATTTGTACAGCTGTTTTGTATCTTCAATTATCCTAATTTATTCATTGTTAAAGAATTTGAGGTATAACAGTATCTTAAGAGCTTTACCTTAATGAGGTAAATAATACATCTATCTAAATGTTAATAGTTTATTTGCGTCTTAAAGTTTTGGTTTCATTACTATATTAGATTTTGAGAAATTCAAGTAAACACTTCATAAAAGACAGAAAAATTTGATGCAATGCATACTGATTTTAGTATGGAAAATGAAACTTAGCACCATATGTGTACTTTCAAAGATTTTTTTTGTTTCATATTAACATGTTAATAACAGTTTTTAAATATCTACAGAACAAAGAACATATTTCATTGGATGATGTTATTATCTTGGATAAATGCATTACATAAGGCAAATTAATGGAAAAAAATCAGTCAAATTATGATGCATGCACCAAGGAATATGCATTAATATAATACAGTTATAACATGACACATTGACCAGGGACATCGGTGTAATTCAAAATTTTCATCATGATAGTACTTTTAAAACTGATATCATTGAACCATTAAACTTTCACAATCAGTCATACGATGTCATCATGTAACATGAAAATTAAATAGCATTTCAATATGATAGATAAGTGAGACAACCAGGTGAATGTTACATGAAACGGTTATTTATGGCTTAAGATTCAGGAATGATTATTTCAGCTAAATAAAGCCATGCAATAGATTGAAACAAATATTTCTATAACCATCACCAACCACAAGCATATATAACTACTTCAGCAAGCATGCAGAAAGAAACACTCTGAATCACTTCTGTTTTTATTTTCTGTATTCTAGTTCATTTCATATTTGTTGTAAAGAATAAACAATTTTAGCATCCAAATTGTGCCAAGCAATCATTTTTCTGTATTACATAATTTGAGGAAATATAAACCAGAAAATAAGAAACCAGAAATATATTCCTTTCATGATCCAATTAAAACAGATGAGAAACACAGAAGTAACTGATGACAAGAAAATGAAGGTTGATCTCTTACCTAGTCTGTTGATAACCTGTACAGTGTGACAGCGATTACATATCAAATGCTCCTACAAAGCCGCATAACCCTCAATTACATCATAAAAATAGCATGAACAGTAACATTAACTTTCTAATCACAAAAATATACAGATTTCTTACCTCCCATCGACCAATAAGTACAAAATAATCCTGATTTTGCTCCATGTTGCCTTAGTGTATATTTTGTATAAGTACTCTGTCTGCCTTGATATACATTATGTATAAGTAATCTGTCCTGCCTTGTTGTACATTATGTATACGTAATCTGTCCTGCCTTGTTGTACATTATGTATAAGTAATCTGTCTGCCTTGATGTATGTTATGTATAAGTAATCTGTCCTGCCTTGTTGTACATTATGTATAAGTAATCTGTCTGCCTTGATGTACATTATGTATAAGTAATCTGTCCTGCCTTGTTGTACATTATGTATAAGTAATCTGTCCTGCCTTGTTGTACATTATGTATAAGTAATCTGTCCTGCCTTGTTGTACATTATGTATAAGTAATCTGTCCTGCCTTGTTGTACATTATGTATAAGAAATCTGTCTGCCTTGATGTACATTATGTATAAGTAATCTGTCCTGCCTTGTTGTACATTATGTATAAGTAATCTGTCCTGCCTTGTTGTACATTATGTATAAGTAATCTGTCCTGCCTTGTTGTACATTATGTATAAGTAATCTGTCCTGCCTTGTTGTACATTATGTATAAGTAATCTGTCTGCCTTGTTGTACATTATGTATAAGTAATCTGTCCTGCCTTGTTGTACATTATGTATAAGAAATCTGTCCTGCCTTGTTGCTGTCCACCTTGCTGTACATTATGTATAAGTAATCTGTCCTGCCTTGTTGTACATTATGTATAAGTAATCTGTCCTGCCTTGTTGTACATTATGTATTAGTAATCTGTCCTGCCTTGTTGTACATTATATATACGTGATCTGTCCTGCCTTGTTGTACATTATGTATAAGTAATCTGTCCTGCCTTATTGTACATTATGTATAAGTAATCTGTCCTGCCTTCTTGTTCAATAAGTTTTTACAAAAAATTCTAGAATTATACTAAAGTACACAGGACAGGATTTTTCAAAAACAGATGTGCATTCACAAATGCAACCTCTCCTCATGTTAATGTGACTGACCTATTTGGTGTTGAAGCCACTGTATACCATAGGTAACTAAGTGTTCTATGGGGAATAACAATACTTGTGAACTTGTATTAATGGCAAATTACTGTAGTCATTAGTACATGTATAATTTTGGAAATTATTTTCCACTTGAACAATAATTAGGATCAATAATACATCATCAAACAAGTATAAAAATATAATTTCCTTACCAAAATCTTTCAATAATTGCCTCCATTTAGAAAAAAAATTATATGAAAAAATAAAAACCCCCATCCTACCCCATCCCCCTCTCCTCACACACAAACACACACAGTAACACTCTCTCACACACTCTTACGCAACATGAATAAAAAAAAGAAACATTGACATATATGCAGACAAATATAAATCTTTGTATGGTATACCTCACAAGGAATTTCATTCAAACCTGTACCTTATGTATGTTTAGAGAAATAGAACAGGGTAATATACATTACATAAAGCAATCTACTAAATAACAGGTTTTCTATATGGAAAAGTGTATACATGTTACTAACAAAGCCTAGTCAATTACAGTCCCCTAGAGCTTTCACCTCCTACTTCAAAAACAGAGACTGAATTAGAGACATACTGTATAGGTCTCTCATCAAAACAGGTAAATTCAGAAATAATTGAAATTTAAACAGCCAGAAAAGCTTTTCTTTTACTTTACATTTAAAATGAAATAGAGCAACCACCGCCATGGGTTTTCTGGGGCTTTTAGTTATACCTGTATACTGGTATATTAATTGAAGTTCATAATCCAGTATTAAAGCTTTGGGGCATAGCTGAAATTCAAATTATCATTCAGAATTATCTGAAAAAGAATTGTCTGATAATAATAATATTCTGTTTCATTTTAAAATGTGCTTAGCATATCCTTTTTCTTTCCATCCTTTTTTTTCTTACTGGGAAAATCCTTTTGGAGAACAAGAAACTAGAAAAACAACCAACAAAACAAGGTATGCAACATTATCACTGAAATGTCCAGCAATAGTGGAAACTAACTTATACAGTTACATATTTTTATAGCCTTAACAACACCTCAGACTTCAGATTTACCTATGATTTTTAATATATTATTTTTCATATCATTTTATGCCTATATAAGTACATTCTCCATTGCAGTTGTCATAAAAAAAAATTACCTCTTCATATTTACACTGTAAAACCTGTAGAGGTCGGAAATTCTGCTCCTTTACTCCAGGAGCTTCTGACCGCACACACAGAGGAGTACAACCTCTCATCTGGGGAACGGGAAGATCTGCATACTCTACCCGCATATTCAGGCCTAACAGGGCTCGACTGTAAAAGGCAAATTAATACCTAAAATGAATATTTGACAGCAAAAAAAAAGTTCTTTAATAGTGATAGAAGTAAATGCCAACTTATCAAAAATCAAATAATCTTCCGATTTATTATGTTATTGTTTTACCTTCCAGCCATGGAAATGTCGCTATAACCTATCAAAACATTTTTCTTCAAACGCAGTTGGTCTGTTGTTTCAGGCACCAAGAACTTGGTACTGCCTCCTTTGAGTAGTCTCCTATTCCCAGCAGCTGGTGTCAGACCTGCACTGCTGAACATTTTAAAAATCCAGTGATAGATCAACTCTTACACTGAAACAAGAAAAATAACAATTCTAGAGTATTTATATGCATTAATTTTTCTCTATGAAATATTCCAAAATAAAAATAATAACGTAAAATTTCTCAAATTTTTTTGCAAATGATCCATACACATGTAAAGAAGATCATTGTTATTTCAATGCCTCCACTAGGATTCTAACGTGGGACCTCTCGCTTACTAGTCCGATGCTCAATCAATTGAGCTAAAGAGAAGATATCTCTAGCTGAGCAATATTTTGCGGCTAGTGTTTTGCCATGCTTAAATACTCCCTCTCTAGGAAAAAACTCGTCCTGAAGTATCCAGGGGTTAAAGCAGTACTTGTGAAAGTAACGCTAAGTATTATTCCCGAGCCCCTTCATGGACGTGCGTCAATGTAACTGGTAACAGAGGTCATTATATATTCCAATGCCATCAAAAGGAATCGAACCTGGGACCTCTGGCTTACTAATCTTACGGTCAACTGATTTAGCTAAAGAGAATTTCTGTCTACTTAGGCGTTATATTGCAGCTTGTACGTACAAGGGTTACACACGTACAAAATGTACCATGCAGGCACTTGTAGATCCACGGTCCATTATACATACACTTTAGGTTTTCTACTTCATTTCTACTTCTAGGCCTAATGGTACAACTGTATTTTTCTGTCCACGACTATGGCGGTGACATTACTAGCTGCAAGTTAAGCATAACGAATGTTGTACGCGCTATATCTTCTTATTCCGTAATAGCATTCTTAAAGATTTGAGCAACGAAACACTTCGTATCCAGTGCCTCAATCAAAGTGAAAGTTGAATGTTATAGCACGTTTGATTGGGTCCAAGTTTAGGATGTTATCATTGTTTTGATTGGTCAACATACCACACACCTCCAATATTGGTGCGTAAATAAATATCTAAAGTGTCTGGTGTTAAATAAGGGATATTTACATAAATTGTAGTCAAAATTTATATCGTTGCTAAACTTTGTATGTTACGAAGGTATACTTCGATTAATTCTTAATTTTGTGTTGATATGATAATTTTAACTAACGAACTTTATTCTACAGCGGAGGTATACACGGTGACCGACCTACAAACACATGTGTTAAATTTTATAGCTACCCGAGAAGAGTTGACAGTGTACTGTAACTGTGTCTCGTGTGCTACATAAAACATAAAGAGCCATAATGCTTTCTATTACGAGATATGCGAGATTTCTCCCGAAACGGTGAGTGCATCTGAACGAATGTTGTGTTGAAAGATCATACTTATTTGGCAATTGTCATGAGGTCATGTTAATTGTTAGTGAATACGCATTTGTGTTTTGACCTCTCGTGCAATCCTCAGGGGTAGTTAATGTTTATAATTAACATACCAGATTGCTAAGTTTTACGTTTGAACTTTAATAAATAAGAAATATGTTCAGCATGTTCACCTACGTATGCATGTGTGGCGACAACATAAACGTGTTGACATTGCACTGTCAATTTTGTTTTACCTGTCCACAGAGCCCAGGGAGCACCTGTTGATGATCGTCATTGATTTAAGTTGACGAGTCAAAGGCCAAATAAAAATCCAAAGGCCTAATATTGTCCGAAAGTCTATTAGTCTACAGGTTCCATTGTCTAATCCTGTGTTGTACAGACAGTGTTTGCTTCATGACCTACATGTATCTCAATATGAAAATTTAACCTATACTCAATTTGCAATGCCCTTTTTTCATTAACTGAACTGTGCTCTTTTTTTTGTGCAAGAATGAAGCTTTTCTATAAGAATTGGGGTTAACATTTATGTCATAATAGTGTAATGTTGATATAATACACCATTTTATTTAACATTTATATCAGCTGTCAATGGCACTTAATATTTCAAATATCAACAAATTATATTCATGCATTTAATTAAACCAAGTGGGCACATGTGGAATAGTCCGCATATGTCGCATTAGTGTTGTATGTGATAGCATTTAACAAACAGTCAATGTGTTATAGTCTTTCTTCATTTGTTTGTCTCCAGATTCATGAAGGGAAAGGCAGGTCGACAATAGAAGGTTTGACCAATATAATAAATGTATAAATGGTACAATGTATTGACATGATGGGTCATTGTGATTCTGGCCAAAATTGTATAAATTCTCAAGTCTATGATGATAGTAATAAAAATATAGACATTAAGTCCTATATCTACTTTTAGGAAAGTCATGTATGCACAAATATGTACACTGGTATTAGGGGAAAATGTCCAAATTTCAGAGTGATGGATAGTAAAAGTAGTGAGTTGATGTGACCACCCAGGTGTGTTTTTCCTGTTCATTCACAAAAATAATCAGGAATGGATTTGTGTGGCCTTTGTGGTGCATGACCACCAGATCTTGTGGACCAAATGATTATTGCCTCATTTTAGATTCCTTTTAATTGGTTTTATAATTGGTTTATGTAAGTTACTGAGATGATTTGTTACATGAAGAAATTTATCTGGATGTCATATGAAAATATAGAAGTTTTTTAGCTTTAATATTAGATTGTGTCTTGAAAACTTCAACTTTTTACTGTGTTGTCATCAGAATAAATAATGTTTATAATATCAAATTTTTATATTGATTTTTCAAAGCAGTAAAGAGTTTTGCGGTGCAAATCCATATTGTATTTCTGATGCAGTTTTGTGTGCCAATGTTTTGTCACCATCTTCATTTGCCTGTCCCACTGTGGCTACACATTTACTTTCTTGTTTTCGTACCACGATTTCCTTCCATTCTTGATTTCTTCTTGTTTATTTGCGCCTTTTTCTGAAGAATTATTTGTGCAACTTACTTTCTATAAGCTTCATTCTACCAAGTACATTTTTTGTATCAAAACCTGTCATAATCTAGGTACTATGTCTTAATGTATATGATAAATTTTTATTATAGTTTATAATATTTATAAAATTATAGAACTATTATAATATAAACACAATACTCAACACTTAACCAACTTTGGATTATTGAGTATTCAGATATGGAGCTGGCCTTCAGACCATCTTAAAGACCTTCAGAGTAATAGACCTTTGGACTATTAGGCCTTCAGAATGGTATTAAGTGTGTCCACCAAACAGAGTCATTACTCAAATGTAAACCTCATCCCTCTCCCCCTAAGCATAAAAAAACAAGTTGGGAACAGTTTTGAGTGAAAGATAATCATTTGCATTTAATTGAAATTAGAAATAACATATATAATTATGTACAGTGGAAGTAGCAGGGCACATTTATTTACAATTTTCAGTGATACATGTAATAAAGAGGGAGAGTGAAGATATTTCACCCCTGTCCTTGAACATGATTTACTACTGACAACTTGCTTTCTTGCTTTTAATTGAAATTAGAAATAACATATATAATTATGTACAGTGGAAGTAGCAGGGCACATTTATTTACAATTTTCAGTGATACATGTAATAAAGAGGGAGAGTGAAGATATTTCACCCCTGTCCTTGAACATGATTTACTACTGACAACTTGCTTTCTGCACGCTATGTTCTATACATATATTCCACATTGTATATCTAGACATCTAAGGGAGTTTCCAATCAGTTAATGCTGGTAAGGATAGGCCTAAGCTCTTTCATTCTTTCCCATCCTTCACAAAGTCTAACAACTCAAAGGTCATGTCTTGGTCTACAACAGGTATGCACTGAAATCCTTTCTACACTGATGCTGTAACTTTTTCAGTGTTGCATTAAGTCGCTGTCTGTCCTCAATACCTGACCAATATGTAGCTGTCAATGAGCCAATGCATGAATATGCCCCAGGCAGCAAAGAAAAGAAGGAACTTGAAGCAGCCCTTGCAAAATATGAGAATTCTGTGGAGGATATCCCAATTGTCATTGGGGATGAGGAAATCAGAACAAATGAAGTTCGCCACCAAGTTGCTGTAAGTATTTGGTATATATTAATTGGGGGGGGGGGGGAGGGGGGTAGAGATTTTACGTTATATTTAGAAAGACAAGGAAAACTAGATCTTTTACATCTTTGTAATTATTGCTTACTTTGTCCATCATCATCTTTTCACTTTGTATGAAAATTTACTGAACCAAATATAGCTTCAAATTGTCTACTATAAATTTAATCTCACCAGTAATGTCCTCTTTTAATAACAATGTCTTTATGACAAAGAGGTACATTGTTATGATATTAGGTCTGGCCTGTAACATGCTAAACAGCTGCTAAAATTTTTGAAAAACTAACTTCAAGGTCAAAGATATCAAATATGTTTCAATTTTTAAACAGCTTCATCACTTAGATTATTTACCAAGAAGTCAACTGTCATTATTATAGACCAATGGCATGGAAAGATAAATGGCTATCTTGTTTGTTAAATTTAATAAACTTGGCATAATATGAAGGTCAAAGGGGCTAAAATCTTTGAAACAACTTCTTCTTAATAACCAAGAGACCCAATGACATGATATTAAACCTTTATCATGCTCGAGTGGATGAAGGATTATCAAGTTGATTTGAAGGAATGACAGGTGAAAGGTGACAAATATGGTAAATTATTGAAAGCTACTTCTTTCAATAACTATTTAAGAAAAAAAAATACAAGAGTTGACATGATAGTAACTTGCTCGAACGTTCAAAGTATGAATCTTTATTTTCTTTCCAGATCAGAAAGGTCAATTGGATTTATTTATTCAATTAACTTCTTCACAATAACTTAAAGATCAAGATTCATGAGTCTATTCAAATGAATGACCATGGTTCACTTTCAACATCACATATTATGTAAAATGTGGTAAAATAGTAAAGTGAATCATTCTGAATAACCAAGAGGCCCCTTAGGGCACAATATTCATGCTAGCTATGGATTGCTTGGATGAAGGGGCCTAGTGTCAGGATACTGGGCTTACAGCATGCTCATATGAAAGCTAACCTTGTTTCTTCAAATGAATGACCTTGTCTTCTTCAAAGGTCACTGCGATTGAATATGTTGAAATCTTGAAGCTAATTTTTGTCAATAATCAAGGAACTGCTTTCAAGGTTAGAGTAGTCAAAGTGTTCAAATTGATGTAAACATTTTATCTCATTAAGTAAAAAAAATAAGTTAGTTGAATTAGTATCATGCATGAACAAAATGCTACGAAGTCTGCTCACACAGCACTTAAACAACAAAATTTAGACAAATGTGAACTGTTGAGCAGGTCAGCAATACAGGGCAATTGGGCCTCTTTTTAGTAATAATGTTACTGTATATCTAGGTATTTTGGCACTGCAAAATCTTTGCAAAAATCCCCAATTTTTTTCTTTCTCAAATTTTGCACCTTTTTTTTATATGATGTAGTTATCTAAGAAAGTTGAAATGCCTTCTTTGAAGATTTTGGAATGACTTAGTTTACATATACATGTTTACATGTATACTTATGTAGATTCTACCATCACACTATACAAGAGATTGATATGCTAACCAGTATTTATTTTCTACAGAAGTATTCATGACTAGAAAGTGCTCAGTTGCATGTCCGTACATCAGCTCTCTAGATGTATTATCTATAGTTTTACAATGAAAAGAAAAAAATACAATATTTGAGTTTTTATTTTTTGTGATTTGGAAAGAGTTGCAAAATTCTCAAAAATATCCAATATATGATTTATCTTATGAATTTTCAAAAATTGGTTGATTTTGAATCATAGACCCCGTGTATCCTTCAGCTAAATGAAAAACACACAACTTGACATTTGATAGAAGAAGAGGTAAATCCTTGAGATTTGGTGATACCAAACTTAAAAAGTCCTTCAAGTGAAGAATTGTGTCTGAGTATGCAATCATTTATATCTATATGAAATTTGTAGAGACAAGATGACTTTTTATATATATAACAGGCTTCAAATTTAATATCAATTAATTATAAAAATCACATGAAATTATTAACGTTCTTTTTTGCAGCCATTTGATCATCAGAAGAGGATAGCACAGTTTTCTTATGCATCTGCTGTAAGTAACTATTTATATATACTTGTACTAGCACATAATTGTCAAGCATTGCTAAATAAGTCAAACCTTGTCAATACAGACTTCTTTCGGTAATGCAGATACATGTGTAGTAAAAATAGCTTGCTTTTTAGACTTTTTTTTTTAATGAAATTGTACTATCAAGAAATGAAGAAAATGTTTTATTTATGTAAGTTGTGTAATTAATGGTTTATATGATTTTAATTTTTACACAGTTTTTAATTCTATTCAAAAACAAACAGTTCACAATATGCGTAAGTTGAAGAAAAAAGAGTGAAAAAATTATTGTAGCATGTTTGGTGATATACACCAGCATAGTCTTCGAAAGTTTGATGTAAGTATTACTGCAAAATGATTGTCAAAATAATTATGTATAGGTTTCAATAATTTATATGTAACATTAAGAAGGTTTTTTATTTTGGTTGATTTCAAAATTCATAGCCTTTATTACTTATCATTTTCTGTTGTTAGTTATTGGCATTTGAGTTTTCTGCATTCAGTGGTCATGTGTACCTTATTTCTATAATTATATATAGATTAAAAGTGGTACAGGTTTCGTTCCCGATGACCTGAGGTCACAACAAGGAATTTTTCAGTGATTTTCTGGATTCAAATGTTTGAGTTAGAACTCGTGCCTTTCCTGTGGAGCGCATTAAAATTTTGAAAACCCACAATATGTCTTTGTACATGATTGGATTCATCGAAATTTTGGAATGGGTGCTCTGGATTTACCAGAAAAAATCCTACAATAATTACTGATGTTTTAGAAACAAAATATCCTGATCGGTAGTCACTATTAAACTTATTCACTTTAGAATATACTGTAATCACACAGCTGGTATAGTAATCCATTGTCATACACCTCAATTCATTGGAGTCCCTACCATAATGAAGAAGTGAACACGTTTTACAATCCAAGTTTTCTGAGTTTAACAATCACGGGAACAAAATGGTCTTATTAGTTTTATCCTTTAGGATGAATGTAACTGGCTTTGCTGATACTTTAGAAATCTATGACATTTGATTAAATGACAATTTACATGGCCATGTTACTGATCTATAACTCTAAGTCAACATGGATTTTCCTCTGAGTTTAGCGGAAAACAACATTGGCAGTTATTATTCCCTTGCTCAACCTGCCGTAGAATTATATATTTCCTCAGGGCTTAATTTTCATAAATTTTCAAAAAAGAAAAGAAAATTTTATGGATGTATTAATTTTAACATTTCGTCAGCATTTGAAATGTACCCACAAAATCAATGAACATCAATTTCTCTCAAAAATTAATGTTTTTACAGTATTTTTAGAAGTTAAAATTTCATAACTAGCTAAGATACAAACAAGAAAAACAAGCAGACATAAATTGAGTGAAACAGCAGATAAGCATACAGGGATCCTCAGCATTAAGAATAAGGTTTGCTATTATTCAATGTGGGGTATTATATTCTTAATATCCTTTATATAAATATCTCATTTTCATAGACCCTGGCCTGTCAAATTTCTTTGGGAAGTGTCTAATGTACAGATTCATCAGATCCTGGTTGGGTTATACTGTCAGCTGAGCTAGGATATAAAATCCCTTCTCTAATTTCCTTACAATGCCTAGCTAGGTGAGAGTTTCTCTAAATTCTTCTCTGGCTGTCAAACCAATGGTGTATACTAGAATATATTTAAAGATGGTGTAAGTGTATTGTTGATTCTGGAAGATGAGATGAATTTGTGTTTAAAAATTCTGCTGCTGTTTACTTGAAATATAATACCTTAGTGTCAGGGAGGTAGAGTCATACATGGGTGAACATACCTGGTGTTACCAACATGTCTGGAGGCACAAAAATCTATTTCTGTAGAGGACAATTATTAAGAAAAAAATTTACTTGAATTTGCAGTTTTTTTCTAAATTCTACAGGAAGTTTTGATTAATTTGATGGTTTAATCCTCTCAATTCTCTTTTTATATATTATAATAAATTTACAATAACAACAATCAGAATCAGGCCTTGTTATTTTCACAGTTTAATTGTTAGTACTTTTTGAGGGTTTGACCCTTTGAGTCTAGCATACATATATTTGTCACAGATTTTGTTTAAGATTGAACATAATTATTGCCAATAAATCATATGTGTCAATATTTCATTCTTAAGATTCAGTAATGAAGTGTTTTTCCAATCTTATCCCACACCAATGCACCTATTTGAATAGCAAACTGATGCACAGAATATTGTGTGTTGCAGAATTTTAATGCAGATTTCATTATGCTACTGATATCTTTCTTCATCTACCATACCCCTCAAAAAAAAATGACAGTGATGGTTCATATTTAAACATGTACATTATGTGCTTTGTATTGTTTGTAGGACATTTGCAAATTCATGTTTATTGAAAAATGTGAACTTAGATATTAATGTTTACATGTGATATTGTCTAAGCTCTATTTATAATACACAGTTCAAAGTTCAAAGATATGAGGTATTCATTTGATGTGTGCAGGACATTGTACAGAAAGGGATAGATACAAGTTTACGCGTACGACGGGACTGGGAGAGACGCCCTCTTTATGAGCGGGCTGAGATCTTCCTCAAGGCAGCTGACCTGATGAGTGGAAAGTACAGAATGGACCTCCTGGCCACTACAATGATGGGACAGGTTGGTTTATACGAACAAGGGCACCATATTTCCTTTATAAATGTTTTATTTTAAAGTGTTTAATTTAAGCATTTTTGCTTTCATTGAATATTTCGGCAGATTTTTTCATTTTAATTCCTAATTATTTTGGCAGTAATGAAGATGATTTCTCCAGGCATTTACAACATAAACGACAGTGTTGAATAGTTCAGAAGCACAAAGTAGATATAAATTAGTCTGGAGCATCCTGCACACATGTAGACAGTCTAACCTGGTATATTGTGATCAGGTGACATGATAGTTGTTTATCTGTTGTAATAGACACCAGTCAGCTGGGAAAAGTTCAGCAGAAATTGGATACCAGGAATCTAAGGAAAATGTATTTATGTTCATTTCTGATGTATTTACTTACCCGATACCTGAAGCGTTCTAAAGCTGGACTATCCCTTATACACATACACCACACACAACTAGTACATTGTGTAGATGGTAGGTTTTACTACAACAGCAAAATTTTGACATTTTCAATGCCAAGGAGAGAGACATGTAGATTGAATTACATATATCTACTGAGGTGAACATTACAGGTACATCTATCTATGTAGATTTTATAATATATGTATAGCTAGGGTGTTGAGGCTAGAATGCAAAGAACACCCACCTGCTGCATGTTCAGCTCAAAGACTGGCTCAAATGTAGCCTTACATACCGCAAAGTTGGAATTAATTAATGCAATGAATTTAATTTTGCTGTATTTGCAAGAATTGAAGATAGTGCAATTTACATACCCAGCAAATATTTCTACAGTGATTGAATATCTAAGAAAATATATGTTAAGCTTATATACATCAATTCATAGGTATGCATGAAATTTTATATCTGTGAATTAGCTCAAACCATAGTGTGCTGGTTTAATGAGTGCTTCCCAATTTGTGAAATGAATGCCCTTGACCTATATTTAAGTGAACAGAGGTCAAATACAATCAGCATGGTAAAGCCTAAAGGCATTGAAGTTTGATATTTGCTTAGTAACCTGCTATTACAAATGTAGGGCACAGGTGTCATATTTGTTAAAATTTTCTCAAAATGATAACTCAAAACCACAGGCTCAAGATTATCTTTAGTCCTACAAAGTTTATGAAAATAAAGGGTGTCTGACCAAATTCAAGTTCACAGCAGTCATATATGTACCCATAGGGATGTACATTGTAAGAGAGCCAGCAGATCAGCTGCATGGCTATGATCATGGGGAAACTCTGGTTAAGTGAATTCAAAGATACTGTGTAACCTATAGTGTTTGGGGAATTTCCTTAGGTGATTTAAGCCTAAGACATCCTTCTGAGGGAAAGAACTTTCTTTGATGTCATAAATACACACATAATTCTTCTAATTACAGTCTTATTCATTGGATTTTATTTTTGTAGTTTTTATATAACCCACAAAATTAAGAAGAAAGCTTCATGTTTTACAGTATTCTGACCAGTGTGTGGTTTGATGTTAACAGTAAAGAATAACACAAACTTTAAGTACATATATATATGCATTTCACCTTTTGATTTTTGTTGTGTAAACATGACATTTATAGGCAAAGAATGTTGTACAAGCTGAGATAGACGCAGCTGCTGAGCTCATCGATTTCCTCCGCTTTAACTCACAGTTTGCTCAGGTAAGTGATTCAAATTTCTATCAACATAATTTTCAGAAGAATCCAGCAATAAGGTTACTTCAGTAATTTACTTTAGGGATTTTGTTTCGCTAGGAAAATAAAAACAAAAATAAACTCTTAATTACTAGTTTATTGATGGTTCTGTTCATTGTTAATTCCTTTTATTTTGTAATTATTTTTGTTGCAAAGGATATAACAAAATACCAACCCCTCAGTCCAGCTGAAAATGTCACCAAGAATTCCACAGTGTATAGAGGAATGGAGGTAGGTCTACAGTAATTTAAAGTTTGAATTCATTTGATTAAAACAGAATGGAAGATATATCCTTTCCAGTTAAAAAAAATCAGAAATCAATAAAAAAAAGGATTTTGCTAGTCATTTTTTCACTTTAGCATGAATGGAGAACTTATCCACAGACTATTAACTGAGTCATTTATTCCAAATGTGAACATTTTGATTTGGTTTTAACTGTGCTGCCTAATGACACATTTTTTGTTGCATTACAGGGTTTCTGGGCTGCTATCACTCCATTTAACTTCACAGCCATTGGAGGTCATTTAGCACAGGCTCCAGCCCTCATGGTCTGTCTTAGACTTATCTACTTATCTCTAATAATTTTTTTCTGCTTTAGATTGAAAAATGTATACTGCTGAATATGATTTTACTATAGAACAACAAAGTGAGATTTATGGTTGTCTATTTCCGTAATTGATTTTCACTGTCTTCCCAAAAATGCCTGATAACGTATTAACTAATTAAGGAAATCCTGATTTGATCAAACTTGTCAGAATGACTAGATAAGATGTGAGCTACAAAACATGGTTGTTGACAGATATTTACGATATATTAAATCAACCTCAGAATTTCTGTTCCTAATTTTTGCACACTCTTTGTTTTGATGATGTGGCCTAATTTACAATACATATCGTCACTCATCTGAATAAAGAGTAAAGCATAAGGTTATGCTGTTTTTAGGATAGTGTTCTCTTGGTCAAGCTGGACATTTGATCGTCCAAAGGTTAAGGAATAGGAAAAGAGATCTGAAAACAATGACTATTTACAAGTACCTGTAAAAATTATCATATTTTACTAGATGGGGGACCACCTTTAAATTTTTGTTTTTGTTATGTGGTTTCCCAAACAAATCACCCATCCTGTCATGCTTGATATGATTGTTTTACCAGGGTAATGTGTGTCTGTGGAAACCTTCCGACACTGCCATGCTATCCAACTATACAGTGTTCAAGATCTTTCGTGAGGCTGGGGTTCCAGCAGGTGTCATCAACTTCATTCCTGCAGATGGTCCGGTGTTTGGGGATACAATTACAAACTCCCATGACCTTGCTGGTATCAATTTCACAGGCAGTGTCAGGTAGGTTTGAATTTCTGTGCTACAAAATGGGAAAAGCATGTAAGGAAATCTTCCTATCAGCAAGTCTTTGCTCAATTCCAAACCAAAGTTTGTTCCACTCACTGTCTGAATTTTATATCAAGCTTAGGCAGAATTACAAGGACATTTTTTATCACAGGCAGGATGTGAATATGTATGTTTTAGAAAATATTTTCTATTTAACACAACTGCACATATAAATTACCTGAATTCATAGTATTTGGTGCTAGAGATTGTTAATAAAGATGGAAAGGTTAAAGTTGCCATGTAAATGATATTGCCCGGTATTGTTTTAAAATCTGACTGTTTGACAGGACCTTTCATCACTTGTGGAAGCAGGTTGGCCAAAACTTGGAGAAGTACCGAACATATCCCAGACTCATAGGAGGTAATATTTCATTCCAGAAATATTTACATACATAAAACCTAGAGAGATATTCCTTCAAAACAGAAAGATTCATAAAACCTAGAGGAATATCAAACATATCCCAGACTCTTAGGAGGTATTCTTTAAAACCAGAGAGATTCATTAAACCTAGAGAAGTACCGAAAATATCCCAGACTCATATGAGTTATTCCTTCAAACCAGAAATATTTCAAATAAAAAATAATATATAATATTGTAAAATATGAAGATTCATTATCCATATTTGATTTTATACAAATGCTGAACAGTACCCTTCCTCTCTTAAAAAAATGTTATTGCTGACTTTGGTTAGAAGCATCCTTGATGAAAACCTGGGAGAAACAAGTGGATGGAGCTCAATTAGGGAAATTAAAGCAACATCTGTTTGTGAAGGGGACTCATTGTTTGGGGGAAATTCAGAATTTTTCTGTTTTTGTTAATTGAAATCCCTCTGAAAGAAGAATGACAGGATTCTATCTGTGTTTGTTCAGAAGCATCACCACCAAGGGTCTGAGTGTACTAGGTTCAGATTAGTGGGCCTCAAATGGAGAAATGTAGGAATGATTTTAAAATCTGTCGTCATCTTTTGGTTTGAAGATATTAATTGATTATGATGCTCAGAAGCATCCTTGACGCGACAGGTAAACAGTTTTGTATGGTATGTCTAGACCTTCTGGGACCTGAGGGACAGGATCTTAAAGAGGAAATTAGATAAATTATTGAAAACCTTTCTTCTATAGAAACGATAGGATTTTGTCAAGATTAATTAATCTTTTGTAAGATTGAATGTAACTGGGTGTATATTTTGTTTCAGTATCAAATTTTTGGAACCTACATTTTTGTCAGACTTTGAATTAGAGAGAATGAAGTTAGTGGTATGGCATGTTAATAACTTAAAATAAAAAGCAGTGTCAACAATGTTTACTGTTAGGCTGTTCATGTGTGTTGATTTATATAAACTGGTCACTTTCCAGAGTGTGGAGGAAGTAGGCTGTCCATGTGTGTTGATTTATATAAACTGGTCACTTTCCAGAGTGTGGGGGAAATAGGCTGTCCATGTGTGTTGATTTATATAAACTGGTCACTTTCCAGAGTGTGGAGGAAGTAGGCTGTCCATGTGTGTAATTTAAATAAACTGATCACTTTCCAGAGTGTGGAGGAAGTAGGCTGTTCATGTGTGTTGATTTATATAAACTGGTCACTTTCCAGAGTGTGGAGGAAGTAGGCTGTCCATGTGTGTTAATTTATATAAACTGGTCACTTTTCAGAGTGTGGAGGAAGTAGGCTGTCCATGTGTGTAATTTAAATAAACTGGTCACTTTCCAGAGTGTGGAGGAAGTAGGCTGTCCATGTGTGTTAATTTATATAAACTGGTCACTTTTCAGAGTGTGGAGGAAGTAGGCTGTCCATGTGTGTAATTTAAATAAACTGGTCACTTTCCAGAGTGTGGAGGAAGTAGGCTGTCCATGTGTGTTAATTTAAATAAACTGGTCACTTTCCAGAGTGTGGAGGAAGTAGGCTGTCCATGTGTGTTAATTTATATAAACTGGTCACTTTCCAGAGTGTGGAGGAAGTAGGCTTTTCAGGTGTGTTAATTTATATAAACTGGTCACTTTCCAGAGTGTGGAGGAAGTAGGCTGTCCATGTGTGTTAATTTATATAAACTGGTCACTTTCCAGAGTGTGGAGGAAGTAGGCTGTCCATGTGTGTTAATTTATATAAACTAGTCACTTTCCAGAGTGTGGAGGAAGTAGGCTGTTCAGGTGTGTTAATTTATATAAACTGGTCACTTTCCAGAGTGTGGAGGAAGTAGGCTGTCCATGTGTGTAATTTATGTAAACTGGTCACTTTCCAGAGTGTGGAGGAAGTAGACCCTCCATGTGTGTTAATTTATATAAACTGATCACTTTCCAGAGTGTTGAGGAAGTAGGCTGTCCATGTGTGTTAATTTATATAAACTGGTCACTTTCCAGAGTGTTGAGGAAGTAGGCTGTCCATGTGTGTTAATTTATATAAACTGGTCACTTTCCAGAGTGTGGAGGAAAGAACTTCCACTTCGTTCACCCATCGGCAGATGCTGACAGTGTTGTTAACGGCACCATTCGGTCAGCTTTTGAGTATGGTGGTCAGAAGTGCTCAGCTTGTTCCCGTGCGTATGTCCCAGAATCCTTGTGGCCTAAGATCAAAGACGGCATGGTCAACATCCACAAGCAAATCAAAGTGGGCTCCCCACTGGAAAATGACACCTTTGTGTCTGCTGTGATTGATGATAAGGTACACAACTACAGATAGGACACTTTTGTGTGATCAGTTATTGATGACAAGGTACACAACAACAGATATGATGACACTTAGGTTTATGCAGGTATTCATGACAAGGTACCCTATAACAGATATATTGTTTGCAAAGTAAAAATTAAGTTTTTATCACAATTTGTTAAATTTTTCCATACTTGATAGTATTGTTAATACAGGATGACAAAGTTATTGTATATTTGCATTAATACACATGTACAATTTAGTTCAAATTATCATACTTTGTTAACATAATGATTATTGTGGTAATATGTTACGACAACAAAAACAATAGCTTTTAAATGATTCTGAAGACCATCAAGATCCATGAGCCTCAATCTCGTTTCGCCCACTTGGCCGAAAAAAGCTGTTGAGCATAAGCTTTGGTGGATTGTTCATCCTTCTGTTGTCAAATTTTCTCCTTCAAACAACTTCATGTTGCTGGAGTTGAAGGCTTTTATATTTATTGAGACAAAATATTCTTTATGTAATCAAAGCTGCCAAACAGCAACATGTAGCTTAGCATTAAAGACAATTTGTGCCTGTTGATTGTAAAACAGTATGGCTCAAGTGCTAATGTTTTGAAATGTATTATTGAAAGTGTTAACAAATCAGGAAGTGAAAGCTAAGCATTCTCTGGTTTAAATGCTAGACTGTTATTATTAAATATATTATAGAATTTTCTTTTTCTTTTTCAGTCTTTTGGTCGCATCAAGGGATATTTAGATCATGCAAAGACATCTCCAAATCTCTCAGTCGTTGCTGGTGGCTCATGTGACAACAGGTATGTTCTGAGTTAGTAAATATCTAAGTAGTGAAAGTTAAATATAGAATACATGATCATTGTCAAATTGCAGCTATATTTTGATGTGGGTAACAAATGACAAATGTTGCAAATGCTTTTCTGTCTAGGGCCAATGTTAAGCTTGGACAAATCAGACACACGCCATGTCTTTTACTTATACCGAATATTTACTGAAAACTGCAGCATTTTTTTTACATGATTATTTAAACTTATGGTGATTTTGAGTATTAAGTATGTTGGCTTCAGTTACTGCCAGGATTTACCAAACAAAATCAATGTTTTATCAATAATGGTGGGATTTTCAAAGAATAAACTTCAATATGATATGATGATACCGAGGTACTTCTAATGCAGCTGAATATATCAATATCATAATGAATTTGATCCTCTGATAAAAAGTCAGCTGTGATATATACAGATAGTACATTCTGTCGGACAGTATCAGCATTAGTTTTAGAATCAACACTAAAAAAGAATCTATTTTTATTGAAATAAAGGCTTTACTTCTATAAAGCTCCACAGTTCAGTCTGATATACAAAAGGGAAAGCAAAATAAGAGAGATGGTAATTTGTATATCCTATCTACAAAAATAATCATCCTTGGTCAGTTCAGTGTTGGCATACATAACCCAAGAATATTTCACATACCAGCTGATGTTTTACAGGATACTGATAACTGTAGTTGTTCTGTCCTTAGGCCAGATACTTTACCCTAATTTTTCTTGGTGATATGTGATGGACCTACCATATGTTGTTCAGTAAGGTAGCCACTAGCTATTAAAATGAAACCCGACCTCAAAATGTCCTTGACATCATTGGAAGTTAAGCACAGCAAACAAAGAAACAAAACATTTTTGAGTGATACTATCTGTAGATAATCCCGATCATTAATTAAAATTTACATGCATTTAGATATCATAGAATTTTATGTGATAGTAATTCTTAATTTGATGAAATTTGTGGAGTTTTCTGTTCAAACATATTTTGACTTTTTTTTGTTTCCAGCAAAGGATATTTTGTGGAGCCAACCATCATAGAAACAAGTGATCCATCAGACAAAATCATGCAGGAGGTAGACTTTTCCATATTGTATTACCTATTATTTGAAAAAGAGAATAAAATTGTAAAATGATGAGTATATCATAAATTTTAGGACGAAGTCTTTATTCATTTGTTGTTGTGTAACTATTAAGACATATTTGATTTAAACATTAAAACAGAGATTATCTTTGAATAATTAAAAGACCTGAAAAGTTTTTATATCAAATTATAGATTAATCTTCACTATCTATAAGGTACCAGTTAATTTGATCTTGTCTTTTTGATTCAAATTGTCATGAAGCAATTCAATAACAGGGCAAACCTTACAGAATATCTCCCTTACAAATAAAGGTTATCATTTTGTTCACATACAGGAAATATTTGGCCCTGTCGTGACAGTGTATGTGTATCCTGACAACAAGTACAAAGAAGTCACAGAGCTTGTCACCAAGACTTCACCCTTTGCTTTGACTGGTGCCATTTATGCACAAGATGAGTAAGTATTTTTATTTCATGTTTGCATGTTTTGTAATGAATTAAAGTCCTATCTTTTCTTATTTGAATTTCTGTTTTAGTTTTGTTTTTGAATGAGTGCTTGAATTTCTCTTGAATTTTCCAGAAAGTGAAGTTGTTGTCAGACTTGTAACATGACTGAAGGGAATTTAATTGAAAAAAATTTTGATAGGTCATGAAATTTTTTCACAGGAAAGTAAAGAAAGAACTGGTTGAAATGCTTAAAGACTCGGCTGGTAATTTCTACATCAATGATAAATCGACTGGATCTGTTGTGGGACAGCAGCCATTTGGAGGAGCTAGACTGTCAGGTAGAATTTCAAGTCAAGTTTGAATGTTAAGATGTCCTGACTGTCATTTGTTTTATAATAATATAAAGTTGATGAAATGAGAGAAAATCACAAAATTTGTATATCAACAACAGCATTCTACAATTTAGTACTTTCAGTGTAATATGATAGATACAAAAATGTTTTTTATTAAGGTTTCTTTATTTCTGAATCATTTTTATACATGGCATATTGGTGCTCAAATCTTTTAACTTTTGTGCTGTTGTGTAAATATCTGTAAGCCAATATAAGCTCTTCATGGCTAAGATTTAGTGTAATACAGAAGAAGTGTTTCTGAGTTGCAAGAATGATACAAATCCTGGTTATCATTTCAGGTACAAATGACAAAGCTGGGGGTCCTCACTACTTACTGAAATTTGTGTCGGTCCAGTCTGTCAAGGAAACAATGGTTCCATCAAAGGAATGGCGATACCCATCTATGGCAGTGGCTCAGTGAGGACGCCAGCACTACAGTATGTGGACTACTGTTGTTGGTCTGTGACTGGGGATTGTGATGTGTTCAAACCTCAGTTATAGGATGTGTGGTTTGAATACATGGTTCTCCCAGCCAAAATTAGCTGTAGTGTTTACTTGTTGTTTTCACACAGAAATTATGTCATTTGACGAGAACAGTCGTAAACAATGGACTTGTAAAGATTGACTGTCATTGACTTATAAGATATCTTGATTGTCATTGAATCCACAAAAATTGTTACAAGTTTTATTGTATACATACATGTACTCGAGGATATAGACTTATAATGTACTAACTCATTTGACAGTATTGTCATATTAATCAGAAACAGTGTTATATAGAGGTACATTGATTGATGTGGCTTTAAACACCAGATGAATTGTTAAGTTACACAGGAAAGATAATAAATATAAATTTATATTTACAAAGATGGTGAATTCACTAAGGAATGTCTGTTATTTGAAGTGAGTGTTGTTTGTCTAGTAGCCTTTTTCCCATGTTCTCCCTTTAAAGATCCTGGATTGTAAAAAAGGCTCACAACTTGGATAATACAAAAAGGAATCTGCACTCCAAAACTGTTTGTCTGTGTAATCCTGCTGTTACCCTCTCCAGGGAACAGATAGAAATTTTGTTAATATCAATTCATTTTCATCTACAACTAATTTCCTGGTATTTAATGGTGACAGGTCTGAAAATCCTATGTTCAGTATCTAGAGATTATTTATTTGATATTTAAACGTGCTGCTGATATCATTCCAGTGTTTGGACATCGGGCATATTTACATCATATCATGTTTTCTACTTTTACTTTTTGTTTTTTTGTTATCATTAACATTTAGTGCTCAATTTAAATAGACTTTGTTGGAAGTTATCCATTCTATCTGTCTAGTATCGCTTTGCTAGCAGCTATGTTATTGCTTCTGTTTTAGGTTCCATGTTTATTTTTTAATACCTTAAGACTCTGAAGATTGAATGCATCGTCTTCTTTCAGAAGAGTTCCCCATTCCTCAAAGTGTACTTGATAAATATTAATGTGTTCTTTTTCTAAACACATATTTTATTATTGTAAATATAGTATTGTTCAGTAGTAAACATTTTGTAACGGCAGCAAAATGTATAAAGCAGGTTATTGAGTTTAGATTCTTTACGTTCCTGTTTTGTTTATATTGCTCAGGGGATGTTCGACATTTGAGTTTAGACGTTATAATGGTATCTGTTCGTTGCCCTAAAATAATATTGCCACTTACAGATCCAGGATTTTGGAAAAGAAGGGCAGGGCCCAGACACAGTTGCCTCCTAACACAATAAAAAATGATAATATATAAATGCTTACCTTTAAGAAGAATCAATCTCCACCCTTTGGACCTTAACTAATTCTTCACCCTCCTTTAAGTCTCTTAACATGAGTTTGAGCCAGAAGTAAGGGAGAAAACTCATGATAAAAGTTACAAAATTTTCTTTAGTTAGTTCATTTATCATGAAAACTGAAATTCTGAGTTCATTTTTATTGTGTATTTCGTGTATAGGTATCCATTTCTGGTAGACTAAAGTACCATCTAACACAGTTTTTTCTATAACTTTTACCATCTCGTCACACTATTTTCTACCTTAGAGTACATAGGATTGATAGCTCAGCAGAAAAATTGGTTGATATCTAACCATCGCATCAGTTTTGTATGCTTCACACTGGGGCTTTTTGTCTGATGAAAGTCACCTTGAAGTCAGCATTTTCTCTACCAGTAAATGTGTTATAAGAACTTTTATTGAACGTCAGGTTGATGCACGTGTATAAAAAGTGTATAGTACACAAACCTGATTTATTCATGGAAAGTAATGATATAGGATACCTCAGTACAATTAGATACATAAGAAGTGAAAAAAGATTTCACTTCCAATACAGGTAAATACAGGAGTTAAATCATGTGTGATGATGGATGTAGAATTATAATTGTTATTCACTGTTAAATACTCAGAATCATGATAAATGATAGTCTTATTTGTACAACTGTATTTTTATGGTCTCTTGACATTTGCAAACATTTGTTTAATATTTAAACTTGTATTGCAGATTATGAAATGGTACCAGCATATCAATCAATTCCTATTTTACAGAGATCAACAACTACATTGTTTAAATTATTTTTATTTTTTAAACTTGTACAATTTATAATTCAATTTTCCAATTCTTCAATATATAAATTAAATTTACTTTGGTCGTAGACTCTGATTTAGCAAACCAACAGATGTAAGAATGAGAAATGACAGGTTATGTACTCCCTAATAAGGACATCAGTACATGCTTAAATATTTTAATCATGTATGCTCAGAGCCATAAGTGAGATACTGTTCAATTTATAGTATTTCATTAAGAACTTTAAAGCCATTAATGAAATACTGCAAGTTGAAAATTAAAAGAACTTTAAAGCCATTTTAGTTTTTAATACATTTTCTGGTCTTTATGGATAAGATGATTACATATTCAATCATGTTTTTGTTTTGGTGTTTCAGATAAAGGTTGACTTTATCCTTTTGAGTTGGTCTATGTTTATAACTGAATTATTTTATTTTATTATAGAGTTGGTTCTTTGTTGATTTTAAAGAAGGCATAATAGAAAGATATAAGAACGTTTTATTTCTAATCAATGAAATATTGAATCTCAAGCTCTCGAATGAATACTTTCCGTGTTTTTTGTGCTATTCCAATTTGGTTTTCGGTATATACGTGTTTATGTGGTGTTTTCTGAAAGGCTTTATAAAATCGGGTTTTGGAGTGATGTATTTTATCAGATTTGTATTTACATAAAGAAGGATGATAGTTGAGATTTATTAAATATGAATTTTGTTTAATCTATGTCTTAAGGTTTACTAAATAAACACCATGTTGTATACAATGTACTTACCCCACAATTTAATGTTCTTAATGAAATCAATATATTATTCTGGATAGGCTCTGTCCCATATCTTACTTAGATATACATTGTATACTGTTTGAGGCGATGCTTGAATAAATGCATATCACAATGAAAACAGTGTTTGAAAGTGGCATGTTTTGTTACTATGGCAATAATATTGAAAAAATTATCCATTATGATCTTGTTATTGTCATCTCTAGTTGAACCTAACATAATCCCAGATACACCAATGTCATCCTATAAAAGGAAATTTTTCAATCTGAAAACAATTATATGTTTTCTTGTTCTCAAAATGAAAATCGGAAACATATATACGGAATATTTTCGGAATATGACATCAATAAGTGTTGTAGAATTGGTCAGGTACCTATAATGTATTCTACTGTACCTCCCGAAATACCCCCAAACAATATTTGAGGGTACAGAAAAGATGGATGCAATATCCCATTACTTGATATATCAAATACCTCAACCTAACTACAAAGAGTTAAACTTAAATATACATCATTACGTTGGATATATTCAAAATAATAAGATTTTTTAAAAATCAATAAATGATTTTCAAATTTTTGAAAACAAGGTTTTTGGGTTGGTTAAGCGTCTGACTGTCTTACCACTAGCTCCCTATCTTACGATGGCCAGTTTGCAGCCTACGTAGCTGCAGGTTGGTGTTTTTTCCACTGGGAAATCTGGCTTTCATCGACCATCCAAACCTAGCCTATCCTTGAATGATTCTGGTTATTAATAGAATGATAGAATGTTAAGCAACAATACACCAAACTAAGTCCTATCAGCAGCATAGGCCATTTAAGAATGACCTCCTTATGAATGCAAAGTGAGCAAATGTGTTTTGATAGGCTGTGATATGTTTGTGTAAGCCTCTTTGGGATAGTGCAGAACTGAAACAGACTTTTGCTATCACACTGAAATTTATGGCCACCATTAGGACATCCAATTTAGTTACAAATGTAAGTATGTCAACACTTCATCAGACACTTCAAAAGACACTTTCAACACTTCCACATGTCCCAAAACTTTATTAGGCATTTCATCAATCAGACACTTCATTAGACGCTGTTAACATTTCCTAAGACACTTCATCAGACATCGTCATTACTTCATTAGTAACTTAAGACATTGTCAATACTTCATTTGATAATGTCAACGTTTCATTAGACACTGTCAACATTTCATTAGGAACTTCATCAGACATTGCCAATACTTCATCAGACACCAACAACACTTCATCAGACACTGTCATTACTTCATTAGGAAATTAAGACATTATTAACACTTCATCAGACGTCAATACTTCATCAGACAATGTTAACACCTCATCAGACATTGTCAACACTTCATCAGACAATGTCAACACTTCATCAGACAACGTCAACACTTTATCAGACAACGTCAACACCTCATCAGACATTGTCAACACTTCATCAGACACTCTCAACACTTCATCAGGCATTGTCAACACTTAATAACACACTGTCAAGACTTCATCAGAAAACGTCAACACCTTATCAGACACTGTCAACACTTCATCAGACAACGTCAACACTTCATCAGACAACGTCAATACTTCATTAGACATCGCATAAACACTTCATAAGACACTGTCAACACTTCATCAGACACTGTCAACACCTTATCAGACACTGTCAACACTTCATCAGACACTGTCAACACGTCATCAGACACCGCCAAAACTTCATCAGACAGTGTCAACACCCCATCAGACAGTGTCAACACTTTATCAGACAGTGTCAACACTTCATCAGACAGTGTCAACACTTCATGAGACCGTGTAAACACTTCATCAGACAACGTCAACACTTCTTCAGTCAGCATAAACACTTCATAAGACTGTCATCACCTCATCAGACATTGTCAACACTTCATCAGACATTGTCAACACTTCATCAGGCATTGTCAACACTTAATAACACACTGTCAAGACTTCATCAGAAAACGTCAACACCTTATCAGACACTGTCAACACTTCATCAGACAACGTCAACACTTTATCAGACAACGTCAACACCTCATCAGACATTGTCAACACTTCATCAGACACTCTCAACACTTCATCAGGCATTGTCAACACTTAATAACACACTGTCAAGACTTCATCAGAAAACGTCAACACCTTATCAGACACTGTCAACACTTCATCAGACAACGTCAACACTTCATCAGACAACGTCAATACTTCATTAGACATCGCATAAACACTTCATAAGACACTGTCAACACTTCATCAGACACTGTCAACACCTTATCAGACACTGTCAACACTTCATCAGACACTGTCAACACGTCATCAGACACCGCCAAAACTTCATCAGACAGTGTCAACACCCCATCAGACAGTGTCAACACTTTATCAGACAGTATCAACACTTCATCAGACAGTGTCAACACTTCATCAGACAGTGTCAACACTTCATCAGACCGTGTAAACACTTCATCAGACAACGTCAACACTTCTTCAGTCAGCATAAACACTTCATAAGACTGTCATCACCTCATCAGACATTGTCAACACTTCATCAGACATTGTCAACAATTCATCAGACAATGTCAACACTTCATCAGACAGTGTCAACACTTCAGCAGACAATGTCACCACTTTATCAGACACCGCCAACATTTCATCAGACACTGTCAACACTTCATCAGACACCGCCAACACTTCATCAGACAGTGTCAACACTTCATCAGACAACGTCAACACTTCATCAGACAGTGTCAACACTTCAGCAGATAACGTTAACACTTCTTCAGACAGCATAAACACTTCATAAGACACTGTCATCACTTCATCATACACCGTCAACACTTCATCAGACATTGTCAACACTTCATCAGACAGCATTAACACTTCATAAGACACTGTCATCACTTCATCATACACCGTCAACACTTCATCAGACAACGTCAACACGTCATCAGACACCGCCAACACTTCAGCAGACACTGTCAATACCCCATCAGACAGTGTCAACACTTTATCAGACAATATCAACACTTCTTCAGACAGCATAAACACTTCATAAGACACTGTCAACACTTCATCAGACATTATCAATATTTCATCAGACATTGTCAACACTTCATCAGACAGCATAAACACCTCATCAGACAGTGTCAACACTTCATCAGACAGTGTCAACACTTCATCAGACAGTGTCAACACTTCATAAAACACTGTCATCACTTCATCACACAACGTCAACACTTCCTCAGACACTGTCAACACCTCATCAGACAGTGTCATCACTTCATCAGACAACGTCAACACTTCATCAGACACTATCAACACCTCATCAGACAGTGTAAACACTTCATCAGACACCGTCAACACTTCTTCAGACAGCATAAACACTTCATAAGACACTGTCAACACCTCATTAGACAACGTCAACACTTTATCAGACACTGTCAACACTTATTAGACAACGTCAACACTTCATGAGACACTGTCAACACTTCATCAGACATTATCAATATTTCATCAGACAACGTCAACACTTCATCAGACAGTGTCAACACTTCATAAGACACTGTCAACACGTCATCAGACACCGCCAACACTTCAGCAGACACTGTCAACACCCCATCAGACAGTGTCAACACTTTATCAGACAATATCAACACTTCTTCAGACAGCATAAACACTTCATAAGACACTGCCATCACTTCATCATACACCGTCAACACTTCTTCAGACATTGTCAACACTTCATCAGACAGCATAAACACCTCATCAGACAGTGTCAACACTTCATCAGACAGTGTCAACACTTCATAAAACACTGTCATCACTTCATCACACAACGTCAACACTTCCTCAGACACTGTCAACACCTCATCAGACAGTGTCATCACTTCATCAGACAACGTCAACACTTCATCAGACACTATCAACACCTCATCAGACAGTGTAAACACTTCATCAGACACCGTCAACACTTCTTCAGACAGCATAAACACTTCATAAGACACTGTCAACACCTCATTAGACAACGTCAACACTTTATCAGACACTGTCAACACTTATTAGACAACGTCAACACTTCATGAGACACTGTCAACACTTCATCAGACATTATCAATATTTCATCAGACAACGTCAACACTTAATCAGTGTCAACACTTCATAAGACACTGTCAACACGTCATCAGACACCGCCAACACTTCAGCAGACACTGTCAACACCCCATCAGACACTGTCAACACCCCATCAGACAGTGTCAACACTTTATCAGACAATATCAACACTTCTTCAGACAGCATAAACACTTCATAAAACACTGTCATCACTTCATCACACAACGTCAACACTTCCTCAGACACTGTCAACACCTCATCAGACAGTGTCATCACTTCATCAGACAACGTCAACACTTCATTAGACACTATCAACACCTCATCAGACAGTGTAAACACTTCATCAGACACCGTCAACACTTCTTCAGACAGCATAAACACTTCATAAGACACTGTCAACACCTCATTAAACAACGTCAACACTTCATGAGACACTGTCAACACTTATTAGACAACGTCAACACTTCATTAGTCATTGTGAACATTTCATTTGACACCGTCAACACCTTATTAGACACTTACAACAGTGTACATTAATGGGATATTTGCCGAATAAGATTTAATTTGTTGCATTTGATTGCTACTTATGTTGCTATGGAAATCGTGCACCTCATTTTATTATTTAGATATACATTTGATATTCAATTTGCGGAAACTCTTTATAGATCTAGCGAGATGGAAAGACAAATGTTTGAGCGGCCCTGCTTGCGTCATAACAGGTTTACGTTGTAATTAGGCAAACAGATCGAAATTCTTGTGAAAATTATGAAATCAATAGTAAATAAGCAAAATGAAGTTATGTTATTAAAACATGAACAGAAATGTTAGTTGTCTGCATATACACTTGTGTATTTACCCAATAAGCTGCATAAAATCTATCATCCAGTTATCGTTCGCATTTCCAAATTGACCACAGGAGAAATATTTCAAAGCTAATTATATTTTTTAAAAACCATAACAATGAGCTCTCAAGAGAAACAGAATAGTAAAAAAAAATT